ATTTATTGTTGAATTTTAAAATATTTAATATATTTATACAATGCATTCTCTTGATATGGATATAAATCCACATGAAATGTTTTATACCTACAGTCTGAAGATAATTTTGCATAATATTTTTAATCATGTGTTTTGACTGTGACATATAAGGTAACATGAATTTTCTACTTGTGGCATCAAAATTTTGGATTTCTAACATATACATCTTAGTTTTGTCTATACGCTTTTGGAAGCTGTAAAAATTTTGGTTTCGGTAATCACAGGTGACTGCATTCCTTTGTCAGAGGGAATAAAGTAGAGCCTCATAGGGGGATGTCACAAAAATGATTCATATATTTATCACTGTATATTTTTTAGTTTGTAATTTATTTTGCTTTAACACATAAATGTAGTAAGCATTCTCATTTTTTTAAAATTATTTTAGAAATGTGCTCTAGGGGAGATGGCTTAGCGGCTAAGAGCAAGCAGGTTCAATTCCCATCACCAAAATGGTAGCTCACAACTGTCTGTAACTCTAGTTCCAAGGCATATGGTACCCTCACATAGACATACATGCAGGCAAAACACTAATGTACATAAAAATAACCTTAAAAAGAATTTAAAAATAATAATAAAATACAGAATTGTGGAGAGTGGATCTTACGTGTGCTTGAGAGCCTCTACCCACCCAGAAGTTCCTCAATTCTAGAATATGTTTTCTCACATATTCATCTTAGTTATTGTGTGGCTTTGGACTCTATTCCTTTCATAAGCCCAATGGGAGAGAAACAGAGGCAAAAATAGGAAGATAGCAAGAATCTGGTACCACACAAGCAATATTGAGAGCAGCTCTTATCTCTTGGAGTAGGCACCCTAATGTCAGCAGGGCTTCTTGCTTCTAAAGTCATAAACACAGGTGTTTATCAGTGAGGAATAAAACTGATACTAGGTAATAAAGACTTGGGTTCATAAATCCTTTGAAAAGCTTGTACTTTAGGATATTATTGGCATAAAATCCCATTCTAAGACCTTGTTTCTGTGTTTTCTTGAACTGTTCTGGGAACACTGGAAACATCATTGTGACCAGCTAAGACTGATCATCTCAAGAACTGTTAAACTGAATTTCTCCTTGTAGTCTTTCAGTCAACTTTTATGAGCTGGAATTCAATTTTTTACAGTTGGAGGGAAGGCACTATGTTTAAATCTTATACAGTAAGACCCTTTTTTAAAAACTGTTGGTGGCAGGAGGGAGGATGACTTAACACAGATCTGTCTTGTTCTTTTGTTTATAGGGGAATGAACCGACTCACACAAACATAAAAAAGATCATGGACTATTTTAAGTAGATATGCAAATATAAAATTGCAAAATTATGGAACTGTACTTGGCAAAGCATGACTTTCTTTAGCCACTTAAAATTCCACACTTATTCTTCCTCTGGAAAGAAGCAGTTGCCTAGAATCAAGTCAGCCATTAGAAATAGTGTCTGCAGAGAGAACACACTGCAGAAAGGACAAAGCAGTTCAGTCAGAGGCACTCAGACTGAGGAAAGCACATCCAGTGTGTTAGTTCTTCTGATTCCACAGTGAAGAAGAGCACATGCCTGACCACACTGAATCAGTGAGGCTATCACCAACAGTGTCATGTGGCCCTAAACAACATGCTGGGACCATTCTTTCAGTTCTTCAGAGGTGATAGATAATCTCATGTATGCTTTCTCATGTAATGACACTTCCTCCCAATACTTCATCATTGTTCTACTCCAGCTTCGTATCAGAATTTCCTTTATTTCACATATAAATTAGGAATAACTTTCCATTTACCATATTTCTAAACATCTTTCTCTCTGTAGTAGTTCCAACTTCTAAAGATATACGTATAGCTTTGGCTATATGGTCTGACTGTCTTTTCCCAGCTGGCTATACTTTCCACAGGGAAGGAGAACTTGACTTTCTTCACAGTGTATATCCTCACAGAGCACAGTCAGCAAAGGGTACAACGTTGGCACAGAAAGTTCCATGTTTGGCCACCACCATTTGCTATCTGTACATCTCCACCAAGAGCTTTCTGTTTGCTATACAAGACCATAAAATTCTTTTTAAACTCAGAGGTTGGTGCTGGAAAAGGTGAGTAACTAGAGCAAAGAATTTTATATGAATGTGGGGTGTGAGGTTGCTTCTATAAGCAAAGCCACTGAGTTTTTAGCCAGATCAGTAATGTTTACTCTTTCCATATTCTATACATCTACTCGACTATTTGCTCCCTGCTGATACCCACTGTGAATAGTTTATCTTTATGAGTGGAAGTAAATGTGAACTTATATATCTGCCTTTGACCTCTCCTTGTCTCTTCATATTTACTCTCATGAGCCATATAGTGGAAACATCAGTGATACTTCTAAGGCTAAGCTCTAGAACACTGAAGTGTTTGCACTGATATGTGCCATTCACTCTGGGCAGCAGGGGTAGGCAGACGTAGCACTAGCAGTCATGTTATAAGAAGGCTACACCAGGTCTGTGGAGTGGTCCATAGAGCAAAGAACTGAGGTTTTTTTCTTTCTTTTTTTCTTTTTTCCCAATAACTTTACACTAACTTTCCAACCATGTGGAATGGAATTCTCAACCCTAACCAAGATTTCAGACTGTAGGATTAACCAACTTGACTGCTACCTCATGAAACCCTTAGCCAGAAATAATCAAGTTGCTACTCAATTCTAACCTTTGGAAATTATATAAGGTAAATACTTATTGTTGTTGCTTTAACCTAAACTCTGAGTTATTTGTTTTGCAGCAATAGACAAGAAATAAAATCTCTAGTTAAAACAGAAAGAATGAGGAGCTCATTAAAAATTTTCACTCTCCTGTCTATTGGTAGATCTCATGAAGAAAGACAAAGCAAATAATGGTCTAAGAAGGCATTTAAAAGGATAAAAAAAGCATCTTGCTCCTATGAGAAATAGGTTGGCAGTTTGTGTATTAAACAGGGGGAAGGGTTTTTCTGAGATAGAAAGATAAGAGAAGACAAAGTTCTGCCCTGAAGATGAGGAAAACAAAGATGGGTACACAACAAACGCATTGGTTAACCCTGGCTGGCTCATTCTATTTGCCATCACCTTGCTTAGACAGATTGTATAGAGGTCCAGTATTCCCACCCCCATAAAAGTGTAATAATCAGAATGTGTGGAAAAAGCAAATATATCCCGGTAAAGCAGGAAGCAGTGGAATGAGCCAGCAAGAAAAAAAAGAGTTGGAGTGCTCAGGGAACAGTATCGATAGCTGTTACACAATGGCAGATGAGGTAGCCCTATTTCTTTATACTACATATAGATGTTCTCACAAATGTTCAGTTTTCTGTTTCCTTTTTTGCCATAATACATGTGGAAAATATAATCATCCAGTTAGAAATCGGTCAACATGGGGATTTATAAGTCACAGAAGGGTTAGGTTTTCCTTTCTATTTTAGAGCCAAAGTTAACTTTCTAACAAAAAGTATGAGTTTCTTGTAATTTTTAAATCATTACTCCTAGCATCACTCTGTTGCTTTATTTCCTTTCAGGTCTCCTTTCTATATTCCCTTCTACTTGTAAACTGCCTAGGCAAGAAAAACAGATAACGAGTAGTGTGTCAACAAACATTTTCTCTAGCATCTTCAAGAAGCCTCATTAAGAACGACCAGGAGAAATAAAAAATAAAAAAATAAAAAATAAAAAAAAGCTTTCATTAGCCACTGGTGATAGTGAGCTATCTTGACTTTACTTGCGCTAGAATGCCTATGAGTTTTCTTTCTAGAGAAGACAGAATCCAACACAAATTCTTAGCTGTAAGCTGCTAACAATCTTATTCTTTCTTGCATGTGTGAGTGGCCCTGAAATGGTGATCTTCCAGTCTCTGTCTCCTGAATGCTAGTATAGTCATATGCCACCACATCCAGTATAGATTGTATTCTGAAATGGAAGATCCAAGGTAAACAGTATTCACTATGATAAAGAACAAGACCGCATACAGATAGCCTAACAATATATTAGAGGCAAAAGTTCAACAACAAAACCCACAAGAAAACAAAAAGAACTCAACACATAACCTTATTAGTTTGAAGAATTGCTACCAGTGTGCATCAATCATTAATAACATACTCCTTAAAATCCTTAAAATAAGAGGATTAGAGAGTCAAAACCTATGTATAAAACCCAGCACCTGAGTAAGACTCAACATATGATTGCTGTTATCAACTCAGCTGCCAACAAAAACGTTTGGGAGTTTGTAGGGCAAAATTTTCTAAAAGAATTACATTTGTCAGATTAAAACTGGAGAATTTATAAAGAATTCTATAATTCTGATTCAATGAGAAGCTCTAAGCTAGAAACAGCAATTATTATTCTCATGAATTCATAATATACTGTGTTGTCTATTGATTTGTCAGTTTGAGACAAACTAGAATCATTTTGGAAGAGAGAATCAGTTGAGAATATGTATCCATAAAATTGATGATTGATATAAGAGGACCCAGCCTATTATTTGCAACCCTTGGGCAGGAGGGCCTAAATGGTTTAAGAAAGCAAGCTGAAAAAGCCACGGGAGAAGCAAGTAAGCAATGTTACTACAAGGTTTCTGCTTCTGTTCATGTCTCCAGGTTCCTGTCCTCATTTCCCTCCCTGATGGACTAAAAGCTCTAGGATGAAACAAACCTTTTTTTGTCCCAACCCTTTGCTCTTAGTTATGATGATTTATCACAGCAAAAGAAACCCTAACTAAGACACTGTGTGGCAATTAACTATTTATTGATGCTCCACGAGGCTAAAGTTTGGCTATATGTATAAGACGATACTCCTCTTTCCTCAAGGTGACACAATTGCAATATAAAGGACACTAATATAAAGGACAATGAGAGACAGAAAATACCACATAAGAAATAAGAATGTTAATGACATTTCTTCATGTATCAGTTAATTTATAAGTGCTAATTTTCCATAAGCAGATAAACCAACATATGATATGAAACTGAAGCTGTAAATTGCCACCTACCTTTGAGAGGATCATGCTCTGCTCTCATGATATCAATAAGGGAATTTTCCAGAGAGTGCATATTCAAGCTATCATACATTCTACTTCGATCCTGGAAGACAGAAAAAGAAAAGATATAAGATCTATGTAATTTTAAAGAAAAAGTTAAAAATCATAAAGTAATCTTTCTTACATAAAACAAGATACTTGATTAATATATTACTACTTAACTTGTATCCCAAGAAAACACTTATTTAAGTATCTTATCAACTACAATATCTCTTATCAAGGGACAACATTTTTAGCATATCTACCTCTAAAATATATAAAAATTAATGTAATTTCATTGGCAGTATTAACTGAATGCAGTGAAATAATCTACAAATACTATACACAGAAAACATTTTCAGTTGCTTCATATTTTAGGAAAACAGATATTAGCACTTGAAAAATAAGTATCTTGAGAAGAATTTAACAATTGCACCACACTTTAAACATCTATCATACACTTATAACTTGACTTAGTCATTGAGATTGCAAAACAATGAATGCATAAACATCCTATACACTAAAAATCAAATGTAGGACACTAATATCAGAACAAGGATGAATGCCTCACATATTTATATTCAAATCTCACTCTCCAAAGTGCTCCCACTTTTCATAATCCTCACTCTCTGAACTCCACTCCAAAAGAAGGCAAGCAGAAAGGAGGTGGTACTTCAATTCACATTCCCTTTCCCAACTCTGAGAACTGCCTTCTGTGTTAACAGTGGCCTTTTTTTTTTTTTCTCTGAAAGCACAATCCCCTTGCTTATTAGAAGACATTTAGTTCTTTATTGCCTAAGATTCATACTATATTCTACTCAATACAAACTCAATGACTATGCAATGATACTTATGGAAAACTAGCCAAAAAAGCTATGGTCCATGCCCGCCACAGAGGCTGAAGTCTTTTCTCAAAATATGTTAATGCCATCTCCACCCATCTGTTGTATGCACGAATGTACAAATTTGTGTACATGTGGAGGAAGTAGGATCGGCCATCTTAAATTCTCAAGATGATTAGCACAGGAAAGAAGAAAACAATCAGAAAAGTAAACCAACAATTTCCACAGACAACCTGGATCCAGGTGTTCCAAGTCAAACCAGAAGTCTCTAGCATCATATGTACCCATAGATATTTACATATATTATTTCCTTAAGAAAAGTAGCCTTCATGATTTCCCAAAGGGACCAACAACCCAGAAAAACATTCAAAACTAGGTCTTTAGAGAGCTAAAGAAAAACAAAAGGGTTGTTTATTTATTCCTCTTTGATGTTTAATTGGGGCTGTATGCTTTTTAAAGCTAGGGGCCAGGATCACCATTGTAGACTAAACAAGGTGCTATCAAGGAATTAGGAAGAGTGAGAGTAGTAACACTGAAAGATGCAAAGCTACTAGAGAGGAGGCTGTTGTTCCAATTCAACACCAACTACCTACACAAGTCAAATTTACTGACTTTTAAGTGAAAGATCCTAAACAAACAACATACCCATCTATAATGCTCTTCAGTATAACAAGTAAATTTGGTAGGAGAGACAAAGAGAAACAGTGAAATGAAGCAGTGCTTCCCAAACTCAACATGCTTCAGAACCATGTGAAAAGCAGGTTAATACACCGATGGCACACCTTAACTGTGTCTGATTCAGTAGCTGCTAGGTGGACAGTGAAGCCACTGTCCAGCACATTATGAACAGCACTAAGATTTGTAATCTTCTACACCACAGAACCTCTTTATATTCTAGCTCTGTCTTCTACAAAATAACCAAGTCAGACTAGACAGTTACCATAGGCCACTTGAAATCATAGAAGAGCTAAAGTACTGTTACAATAAATGACATAAAATGGAAGCAAGGAGAGGATGGTGTTCGTACAAACAACACCTACATATCTACTAATGTCGCCATTTCTACCATCTCCATTTCTACTCTACAGTGTGCACATTGCCTGGATTCTCCCACTAAACTTCTCAAATAATTAATGCTAAGGACCTTCTAATCACACACAACTAGCTTTCAGATGTCTGTTAAATGAATATTCTATCACTACCCTAAAATCTCACACAAAGACTATTATTAAATGGTAATTACAAAATACTAAATCTTAGAATCCTCTAAAGAATCTGCTAATTGACTAAACTGGAACAAGTATCAGATATTAAAATAGCTTTGCTATCAAATGAATTTTTAGCTACTGAATGGAAGACTATTGTAATATTCTAGTTCTTAAGTCTATTTAAAATAGGATTAATACATAAAATGTCAAAAAAGTCTTTATATAAGTACTTAAAATATTTTATGTTCTATACCCTAAATATTTAGAAGAAAACATGCTACAGGTCAGAACTATCTTTTCTTTTTTTTTTTGTTTTTGTTTTTGTTTTTTTTTTTCGAGACAGGGTTTGGAGCCTATCCTGGCACTCACTCTGGAGACTCACAGAGATCTGCCTGCCTCTGCCACCTGAGTGCTGGGATCAAAGGTGTGGGCCACCAACACCTGGCAGAACTATCTTTTCAAGACAACAGTTTAAAACAAATTGTATCTAATGATTTATATTTGGCTATAAAACAAATACGTGTTCTTCTAAAGTAAGGATAGGAATATACTCATCTAAACTGTTATCAGTTTAAAACTATAAGGAAGACTTGAGACAATTTAGAAATAAAGATGAACATAATAGTCCTGATACACTAACAAATACAGAAAAACTCATAGCAATGTACCTTATATTTACTATCCTATGGCTACTTGAAAATTACTAAGACGGTTCAGAAAAATCAAACTGAGGAAAAGTTCATATCCAACCTACTTTAAAATAGTAAAGCCATCAGTTAAGTGGAGTTTTACAAAAATAAGATGGTAAGAATCCTATAGTGACAAGAAAAAAATAGAACAAATAGAAAATGCACAGTAGCCTCTGAAAGTCTGTTTATGTTACTATTTTCTTTACCCATATATTACCCATAAATACGTATGAGAAGAAAAGGGTAGGCAAATGATATTTCAAAAGCATTTAAAGAACTGAGGCTAAGACACTAAATACCCAGGAAAAGCACCTACTGCTCAAATAAAAGAGCATTCTTCACTTTTACACTCCCTAGGTTTCTTAAGTTCAGGCTCCTTGAAGCTTAGGTACATCACTTTGTATCAGTTTGGATGTTTGATTGATATTAGAAAATATCTTCAATTAATTCAAGGTAGTTTCCATGATATATACAGCAAATATCCAGCACTGAAAACACTGAAAACTGCCCAGCAAGTAGCAGACCAATGTGTATTGATTGGTTTCTCAGGGCGTAGTGTAGAAGTGCCACATACAAAAAGTAAGTGATAAACAACCAAGTTAAAAGGGAATTTACATTGATTTAGAACATCTAAGTATTCTTGAATAAACATACTGTCTTTTTTTTTTTAATGTCCCATGGAAAATTCTATTTCGAGGAAATCAATAAATAATAGTTTTGAGCATGATTTCTTACTAAATACTAAAAGCATTTTTAAATTAATAAAATTTGGCCATATCTAATATAGTTTCAGTTCTCAGGAGACAGGCAGGGACATTCCAAAGTGAGATCAGCCTCAGCTATAAAGTAAGATCCAATTCTCAAAAGCAAAGAAAAAAACAAAACAGAAAATGCAGCTTATGAGAATTAGTAGGAATGTCTAATGAGGGGCTGGGCAGGTAGCTTGTTGGTAAGGTGGTTGCCTCACAAGTACGGGGTGGAGAGCTCTTGTAATCCAGGGAGACTCACTGGCTAGTCAGCCTAGCTTTTGCCTAATTGGTGAGCTTCAGGCCAATGAAAGACCCTGTCTCAAAGGAGGTGGATAGCAATCCTGAGAGATGACACCTCATCATCTTCATCTCCACATGCTCATACACCTGGCTCACAGATGCGTACACCACATGCATTTTAAAAACCTGATATTTTTAAAGTCAGGAACGTGCACAATTCACATGTGCTTTTAAAATGTTTTAAATTTGAAGTTTTTCCATAAAAAATATTGAAATTAAAGAAACAAAATTTTATTTGAAACAAATGAAATAAATTAATCTATGAAATTTTTTTTCAATTAAAGAATTTGATTAAGTGTCCAGATCTTTGGTGTAGGTCATGCCTGAAGTATCCTGAATGGAGATGTTAGCTCTGTAATTTTATTATTGTAGACCTGATTCATTTCAAGCTAAAGGAAATACAAACAATGAACTAAAGTCAAAGTTAAATGGTTTAAAATACTTGCTAACAAAAATTACTAATTAAAATTTACAGGATCACAAAATTAAAATCTCAAGCTATTTAAATGGTTAAGCATTTAAAGTATTTCAATTTTGCCAAATATTCTATATTTTATGATACCAGTGCCAGTTTATAGCTGCTGTTGTGTTTTAAAGAACTCTAAATACCATAGGGTTTTATGGAAAGATGGAAACAGGAACAGAATGTATAATAAAGACCATCTGAGTACTTAAAGAAGGCAATAATAGGATCATATATACTTGCAATGTCTTATTTTAAGACTTTAGTCTCCTCTCCCCCACAGGTCCTAAACCCCTTATATATAAAAAAAACAAAAAAACAAAAAAAAACAAAAACTAAAAAAACACACAGACTGCGGGACCAGAGGACTATGAGACCAGGGAGAAATAGAAAAGGCCAAACAGATCAAAAATGTGTAAGGCCTGGCCTGCAAAGGTTTTACATGACGTTCGTTGTTCGAGACTCTTCTTTATAGATGGGGCTATGACCTAGAGAAGAAGACGACTCTGGTTTTGGAATGTCTTGCCTTCCAGGTCAGTTCAATTTCCATAGCCTATTTTTATCCATCATCACATCACACTTCTGTACAAATACTAATTACTCAGCAGTTTATTAGAAAGTATATCCTTAAGAGCCAAAATGCAAAAGAAAAGTCTAGCTAAAATCCTAAGTTATAAAATGGTCAAAGGTACAGTAGCTTTGAAGTTTAGGAAGGCTAAAGCATTGTACTCCGTCAGTCCCAGAACTGAGTCATAAAATCCCCCTTTCACCATCACCACTATCTACTCTAGTGACAAGAGCTCAATGGAACACTTCAAGCCCTATCTCCCCGTCCACACACTCATAAAGGCTGTATGTCATACACAGAACCCACTGCTTTTGTACTTACACTTACTCTTTACTCTCTGAAAATATTTCCCTTTTCACCTTCAAAATAACTACAATCATTTTTCTATCCCAGCCTAGCCACTTTTGAGAAATCATGGATTCAGTTTGAACAATTGTGACAGTGCTACCATAATACAAGTAAACTGGAGCAAAGTGGAAAAGAGAATAGAAACAGATGAGTGGGAAGCTTATATTAACAAAATAAGCTGAAAAACACAAGATAACTACCCATTTTTACGCTGAGATCCCTGTCTAAAAAAATAGCTAATGACTGATTACTCAAGTCAGTGCTAGTCCTCCAAATTAGGATGCTATTCATAAAATGTTTTGTTATTAATCTGTCTACACAGTCTTTGTAAAAATCAGTTCATGTTGATAAATTACTTGAGGAAGTGCCTTAGCTTTGAATTATACAGCTCCACTCACTTAACTTACAAAATCTCAAAACGAAGATCAAACTTGGAATCTATAAGAAAAGCTTCATATATAAGGACTGAGGTTTTTATGTCCTCATATAATAATCCTCATGACCTGGTACCAGTATACATTCAATTCAGTCTGCAGAAAGATAGACAGCATTTTTAAATCATAAAGATCTTGAAGGTAACTTGTAGGCTATAAGCAATAATAAAATTTAGAATAAAGATACTATACCACAAAAGTATTTTTATAAAGGTAAAAACACTAAATTAAAACTGGAGCTATTTAGAGATATATCACAAAACAAATGCATCAGACCTCATGACAAACATTTACTGGGAGATATTTCTTAAAACATGAAATGTAAAGCTGGATGTTAAATACACTTACAAGTTTGTATTTTAATTGTAGATAATTCTGAAAGGAAGACAGTATCTGTTTAGTTTGACTGATGTTTAAAGTCAGGTGCTCTTGGATACATAATTAATTCATTGTAATCAAAACCAATTTTTTATGATTTTAAAATATGACTACAAATCTTTTACATTTGAAAATAAATGAATTAAGAATTTAAATCAAGAGATGTTTAAAAAGTAAATTGTTTTAATAATCTCTGGCATATGCTTACATGGCATAATTGAAAAGCAAATGATCACTGGTATTTATAATGTAAATACTAAACTCCTAGCCAGGACCCTGAGAAGCACACACTGTGCAGCCTACCTGGTCTATTCTGGATGTTCCGGCTGCAGTGCACCAACTATCTTGGAGTGAATCTGAGCCCCAAGCTGGCAACTGCAAACTAGATCTCACCTTCAATAGCATAGAAGTTTGCATCAGAAATGAGCAGTTCTCTTCCCCATCCCACCCAAGAAAAAACAAAAACAAAAACAAAAAACAAAAAGAAACAAAAAACAATCAAAGTTCTTTCTATCTTAATTTTTGTTCCATCCTCCAAAGGTTTTGAGGAAAATTAAAGCTCATTTGCAAGTGTGACAAAATATTAAAAGGCCTGGAAAAAATGATCTCCATTAATATTAGGCCATATGTAGTGGGGAAAATTACATACATATGTACATATGTATATATTTATAGTCACTGAACCAGAGGAGGCAATTTGAATCAGAGTTAGAGTCAATATTATTGTGCACAATCACAGCTGTATTAAGAACATTCTAATATGTAAACAGCTGATCACAGAAAAACTTATGTACAACTACAGTTACAAAATGTTTTAGCTTATCAGAAAAACAAATTGTGGTTTTTTATTAAGAAATAACTAGCTTAGGCATTTTTCAGGAACTGCCACTTAAAAGGCTTTACTCTGTATAGAAGAAACTTTTTTTTTAATGTTTGGAAGCTTATTTCCATTCATTGTGTGTTTACAGAGAAATTCTTACAAGTGTTTTCTCTGTGTTTTACCCTTTAATAATTAACTGATATGCTTAAATTGTATCTTTAATCCTGTTAATCTTCCTATACTGCCACTGCTGCCTCCACCACCCCAACTTCCTATTTTGAAAGATAAGCATTAGAAAAAAAGGACATTTACATACCATTCTTACCTGTAATGGTAAGAGTGTGTTACTATTGTTGTCTGTCCTGAACACATTATCTTCAATCCAAGACTTTGGAGTCAGTGATGGAGTAGAGCGAGTAAATTTCGGTGGTGCTATAACATTACCAGAAAATGGTTTCTTCAGTGGAGATATCTGATTCATAGTCCCTGGGATTCCCATGTTTCCACTTCTACGGTGATCTCTGCCATGCATCGCTCCCCAGGACATGCTTGCAGTGCCCCAACCACTGCTCTGATGGTTGCTCCAAGGAGATTGTTTCAGAAGAGGCTGAGGAAAACACATCTATTTAAATTACAGGCCTTGGAGAGCTTATAATTCAAATTCAAAATTTTAGAACTAAGCTAAGAATTTAATGTGACCATTAAAAAGTGAAACACAAAAGCCAACAGAGTATTTCCTAAGCGGCTTACAAAAGAAGTCTTGGAATCTTCCTGTTTGAGATCCTATTTACTCACCGTTAGGGACATTTTCATTCTCCTATCTACTGTAAACAGTGATGTCTCATGACAGTTACAAAAATACTCTTTAAAGCTGAAGTTAACTTTGAAGAACCCGAAAGCAACTATCTTCTAACTAGTTAAATTAGTATTAGTTAAATGGTCTTAATCATTTCAGCTATGGGAGCAAAACTTTTAGTTAGCTGTTAGGCTTCCCTAACAGCTTGGGCAATTCTGAAAAAACAGAGACAGAGCAGAGATTGAAGATGCCTTTAAGGACAGACAGATCAGTACAGGAAGAAATTCATTTTCCTGAACTGTTAATTCAACTTTTAAGTTATTTTATTCCCATTTTCTTTCAATATTTTTTATTTCAGTTAATTATCCTGGAATTGCTAAAGCAATTATCTGATGCTACCCATAGGTGGATCCACTGAGATATACAATAAACAACCACTGGCTTTGCTTATTCTTAATCTTAATGCAAGTCTCTGTTAAATTCATTGACATTCAAAAGCAAAATTATATTCCAATCTAGAACCCATGGTAAGGAAAGTCATTTAATCAAAAAATGGAATTGTGAATTGCTAGTATTTCACTATCAATAAGCTAAAACTAATAATTTTTCTGCTAAGATTTAGACGGTGGAAATATAGAGCATGCCATTTCTAAAACTCAATAAATATGGTAATCCTAAAATTAAAATCTATCAAGAATAACTTAAAAATGTGACATCCAGTACCTATAGATGCTACTACAGGATTTTAAATGCTAATTTAATCATGAAGATATATAGTCTTCCCCTTCCACATAGTTGCAAAGCACAGTAAGGAGTCACGGCAGAATTATCCCATGCACTAGGGCCTTATTTTGCCTACTAAATGACTCACAGTTCAAAGTTCTTTTCCAGTGACCTAAAATTCCATATGAAAGCCAAGTGAACTCTTACACTTTGAGGTAAGACCCATTTCTTTTTGTTTACTGGCGAATATTGCAGTTAAATATGAATCATGACATACATCCCGATAACATTCTATTTTGACTTTGGGAATTCAAAATTACCTATAAATTTCCGTGGCAAACTTCCAGTTAAAAACCGAAGAGTCTGACACACACAAGAGTGTTGCTCAAGATCACATAAACCATGGAAATGGCGTATTGCTTCAAAAGTCGGTATTTTCCTTCCTCATAGGTCACATCCCCCATTCTTGGGGAGAAAACATCGATTCAACAAAACTGCTAACTTCCACTTGGGTTCATTTTGATAAACTGTTAGCTGATCGATACTTTGGTTAATTTAAACAGCATTCATTTTTGAAAACTTTGTTCAACAGAAAAGTTTGAGAAGTAAGAACCAGTTAAGGTCAAATTCTGGTTCCATGACAGTCTAATCTTGACATTAGACTTTGAATTTTCACCATAATAAATGCTAACTCCATTAAATAGCCACAAAACTCTCAACATCAATGAATTCAGCGGCCACCCAAAATGTGCATTGGGCCGGGGTGTGGGGGAGCTATAACAGAAAAGATCCCCAGTCAGTAAGGGCACAGACTATCGAAGAGCCTGCCTGGGTGACATTTCCTAATGCCAGATACCCCATGATCCCGGTACACACCCCATGTAGAGACGTCTAGAAAGAAACACATTATTCCTAGATCCAAGGGTGGATGAGACCAAGTACTGAAAAGCAGACCCCAAGAATACCCCAGCCCCACAGCCGCCAGCCTCGCAACGCCTGACAGTTCCTGCCTGCCTGTGACAGTCCCGGGGTGCTGCTGCAGGTGCCGCCTCGGCTTCCCTACAGCTGCACCGAACAAACTCCAGAAGGGAACAGCCTCCACTCAGGTCCCCTCGGGGCACGCCAGGGAAGGAGCAGCCCCAGCCTGTTTCCCTCCGCCTGCCCCCCCGCCCGACC